CCAGTCAGGGTGTCTGTAGGGAACATGCTCAGGGTGTGTGTTCGTGGCTGCCTCAGCAGGTTGCAGTGTGCACTTTTGTACAGACTTATTCACGGGACACCTCCATCCAAGACTGGCTGCTGTTAAAAAAAAAAACAAAACAAAACAGCTAATGGAGCTGACTGGCTCCCAGTCCTAACATGCCTGTGAGAGTTGGAGAGAGTTGGTCGCAGTGTGCACTTTTGTACAGACTTATTCACGGGACACCTCCATCCAAGACTGGCTGCTGTTAAAAAAAAAACAAAACAAATCAGCTAATGGAGCTGACTGGCTCCCAGTCCTAACATGCCTGTGAGAGTTGGAGAGAGTTGGTGTGCGGAGCTGCACTGGGTTACCCAGCCTGCTGGGGCAGCGGGACTTGGAGGCCGGGTCCTCCTCCACTGCCCACCCTTGGATGGGACAGACCACCGTCGTCGACTTCCTGAGTCCAGTTGCTCCAGAAACACAAAGGCCAACCCAAAACACATGCCACATCAACCGCCGGGCCGGGTCCTCCTCCACTGCCCACCCTTGGATGGGACAGACCACCGTCGTCGACTCCCTGAGTCCAGTTGCTCCAGAAACACAAAGGCCAACCCAAAACACATGCCACATCAACCGCCACCGCGGCCCCCCAAACCCAGCAGAGTGAGAAGTGAAGGCTGCAAGGAGAGCCTGACGCTGGGCTTTCCCCCCTCTTCTTTTCCCCTCGCCTTTCCCCATTTTTGTTAACAAATACAAGACTTCCGGTCTCCACCCTGCCACCACAAACCACAGCGTTCCTGCAGTCTGGCTGGGCTGGGGAGATTTATGGTCCCCAGTCTGAGGCCTGCCCGCTGGCCCCAGCTTAAGGAGGAGTTGGAATGCCAGCAGCCGGGGCTCCCTCTCCCTGCGCGTGATTCCCCCCTTTAAAGTCCTCTGAGTGCCTGTTGAGGAAAATCACCTCACCAGAATCACCCCATCTCCCCGGCTGCATGTAGGAAAGCCAGGGTGGGGCTTGCAGGGGAGGGAGGAGGCGGGGCAGGGCCGGGCAAGAACAGCATGGCGCCCTGCAGGGTCGAGGTGCTTCTGGGGAAGGTGGGGAGGGGGCTGCTGCTTGTTGGGGGGCTGCCAGCAGAGAAGGGGGACTTCGAGGATGGTCCTGTGTATTTCAGACACGTAATCTTCTGTCTTGGCCGGGGGAGCTTTGTTAAGGTAGTCTGGGTTAATACTGATCTGCATGTGGTGATTTGGCATCTTGACACGAATTCACCCTTTGTGTACAAAGCTGCTGCTGACACACTGAGAGTTGCTTTTCTATGAGAAAAACAGATATTTTTGCCCCAAATCAACCTCATTTTTATTTTTATCTGATAGAGGTCCCTTTTGACCAAGGCACTGATTTGAGAGCTGGGTGACAAGCACAGAGACCATAGAGTAGGTGATCCTAGATTCTGGACACCTGGTTTCTAGGTCTGGTCATCACCTGGACTGAGCACCAGGCTTTCTGGGTCCCTTTTTTTCCATCAGGATGACAGGGACTGGAGGAGGTTCCAGGTTCCATCCAGTTGAAAGATCTGTCATTCTAGGCCCTCTCTGAGGTCTTTTCTAGCTCTCTAACCAGGACCGGCAGAGTCACTAAGGTCCCCTGGAGTCCATGCTCTGCAGGGATGTGGTTTCCTTTGGCCAGGTGGGCACAGGTGCTGGTGTTACTGGATTCCTGACCAGGTGGGGGAGTGGAGAGAGGAAGCACCTGAGCGGGTTCATGCCTAAAGGAAGGCAGGGCTCTTCTCTTGCTGGATCAAGATTTCCAGGCCCCCGTAGGAGAACTGTAGAGCCTGCAGCATGACTAGGGCTACCTCCTTCTTTCTGTCTTGTACGGAGAGACAAGCTGATTATGAGTGCGTGCGTGTGTGTGCCCGTGTGTCTTGATTCTAGGAGGAGAACGCCCATCCCCATCACCACCAACCATGTCTGCCATTTTGTTTTGCAGATTCCCAACTTCTTCTGGAGCCTGGGGATCGGTCACACTGGTGCGTGGTGGCATACTGGGAGGAGAAGACGAGAGTGGGGAGGCTCTACTGTGTCCAGGAGCCCTCCCTGGATATCTTCTATGATCTACCTCAGGGGAATGGCTTTTGCCTCGGACAGCTCAACTCGGACAACAAAAGTCAGCTGGTGCAGAAGGTGCGGAGCAAAATCGGCTGTGGCATCCAGCTGACGCGTGAAGTGGATGGCGTGTGGGTGTACAACCGCAGCAGTTACCCCATCTTCATCAAGTCCGCCACACTGGACAACCCGGACTCCAGGACGCTGTTGGTACACAAGGTGTTCCCCGGTTTCTCCATCAAGGCTTTCGACTACGAGAAGGCATACAGCCTGCAGCGGCCCAACGACCACGAGTTCATGCAGCAGCCGTGGACTGGCTTCACCGTGCAGATCAGCTTTGTGAAGGGCTGGGGCCAGTGCTACACCCGCCAGTTCATCAGCAGCTGCCCGTGCTGGCTGGAGGTCATCTTCAACAGCCGGTAGCCGCTTGGGGACAGGACAGAGCGTGAGCCGTGCAGGCCACCATTCAAACTACTTTGCTGCTAATATTTTCCTCCTGAGTGCTTGCTTTTCATGCAAACTCTTTGGTTGTTTTTGTTTGTTTTTTGTTTCTTCTTTTCGTCGTTCTTGTTTGTGTTCTGTTTTGTTTTGCTCTTTGAGAAATAGCTTATGAAAAGAAATGTTGGGGTTTCTTTGCAGGGGGGCAGATATGGTTGGCAGGATACCCCGATAGGAAAAGGGGAAGCAAACATCGGAGCACCACCAAATGCAGTGAACGAACGGGTAGCCATGCCTCCACCGAGTGTGAATCGGGTCATCATTTCACTTGTCAGGAGTGTGCGTGTGAGTGTGCGCGTCTGTGAGTATGCATGCGTGTGCGAGAACGACAGATGGGGGAAACGGCGTCCTCTTTGTGTTGCTTACGGATGTCCCCGGCTGAGAGGCTTGCGGTCCCAAGCTGTGTCTCTCTTGCCCTTTGGACACGCTCAGTGGGGCAGATGCAGTACCTGGGCGAGCTGGCGGCGGGTGTCCCAGCAGCTGCCAGGAGCAAGGCTCTGCCCCCCACCCAGGGTAGCCCCCACCCCGCCTCTCCCCCTTCTAGGACACGGGCCTATCCACAGGCTTCTGAGAAGCCAGCCTGCTAGAGGCTGAACCAGAACCAATTGTTCTCATCCTTGTCCTGCTCCCCTCCTGCCACCCCGCTGCCATCGTAGTGTCTTTCTTTTTTGGCCATCTGCTCCTGGATCTCTCTGAGATGGGCTTCCTGAAGGCTGCCGGGGCAGCCCCGTCGCAGTATTGCTCAGCCAGAGCCCTCTCAGGCCCTTCAGACTTTCCCCTGCCCTGGTTACAGCAGGTTTTTCCTAGAGTTAGAAAACCAGCTCAGCACTTTCCTCACCTCCCCATTCTGTGTGTTGAGCTCTGCTATTAGACCAGCGACGGGGGCATCCCTGGCAGGGACGTGCTCCACAGCCCCCTTCCCACCAAGAAGGATTTGGTTCATCATAACCCAAGGTACCATCCTAGGCCAACACCTGACTCTTCTTCCATTTCGTCTACAACTCATACACTCGTATGATACCTTGACACTGTTCTTAGCTCAATGAGCATGTTTAGACTTTAACATAAGCTATTTTTCTAACTACAAAGGTTTAAATGAACAAGAGAAGCATTCTCATTGGAAATTTAGCATTGTAGTGCTTTGAGAGAGAAAGGACTCCTGAAAAAAAACCTGAGATTTATTAAAGAAAAAAATGTATTTTATGTTATATATAAATATATTATTACTTGTAAATATAAAGACGTTTTATAAGCATCATTATTTATGTATTGTGCAATGTGTATAAACAAGAAAAATAAAGAAAAGATGCACTTTGCTTTAATATAAATGCAAATAACAAATGCCAAATTAAAAAAGATAAACACAAGATTGGTGTTTTTTTCTATGGGTGTTATCACCTAGCTGAATGTTTTTCTAAAGGAGTTTATGTTCCATTAAACAATTTTTAAAACGTATACTTGATTCACAGTTGTGCTCCAGCTCCTTTTTCTTCTGCTGCTTGGAAGGGAGACGGGAGGAGTGTTCATTAGAATTCCATTGAGTCGGCTCTTCCCAGTCCAGTGCTGGTTGGGGAGGAGGGGGACAAGGACCACAGAACGGAGACGTCCAGAATAGCGCGTCTCCCAGTAGCTGCTCTTCCCTGAGTGCTAGAAAGACCTGGAGCTTCCCAGACATCCCCCTTCTTGTTAGGCTGTGACCCTAGGGTGTAGCTGGTTGATGGACTGAATTTATAATGGGGACCCCTTAAGGGAGCCCTGTGGGTGATTTTTCAAAGCTTGCAAAATTGAGGAAAGGGAATTCATCTGGGATGATTGGAAAGGAGGTTGGGTTAGGGGACCGACTGGGAAGTACAGAACCAAGAAACTGGGTCCATCTGGTCTTGCTTGCTAACTCCTCACTTGGCATTTAAATCCTGAGGCTACTGCACCTTTGCCAGAGGAGAGTGACTTTGCCAGACTGGATTCCAGGAGAGGTTCCTGGGGATTGAGGCCCTGGAGGGGCAATCAGCGGGGAGCTGATTGTTGGTGGTAAGAGGGACGCCATTCACTTACTGGGTCCCTCTGAAGTACTGTACTGGACACAGAGAGACCAGAGAGGTCATGGAGTCCGAGTCCTACTCTGCTATCTCCCCTGTCTGCTAGAACTCTCCTGTGACAGTTCACTTGTCCTCTTCCCCAGCCCAGCCGGAGTGCCACTTGCTGTCTTCAGTACTGTTCCTGCATCAGCTGACTTGAGATTTGTGCTGATTGATCTGAGCCACATTTTAGATTCAGAGAATCTTGCACAAGAGATGGGTACACATTGGGCACCAAACAGAGGGCTGTACAGGTGTCTATGCTGGAGGTCTTAAGCCTTAGATCCAGGAAGGGGGTCCTTTTGAAGTGGGGTTTAAGAATTTGAATATCACAAACCAGTATAATTCCAAGAAACCTTTTTGGAGGGCCCACAGAGCATTGCCAACTTGAATTTCACCAAATAATAACACCCAACACTATAGCCTACTGACACCATCATTTCATTAATGAGAATTCTAATCCAGTTGTGTAGCAAGAAATAGTAATACATGTTGATTTATGCTCTAGAGCGTTAATGCCAAGTGATTGTCTGGGCCAGTTTGTCCCCATGAGGTGATGGGGAGCTCACTCCCTCTTGAAGCAGCTTTTTGCTTTCAGTTGAACTGAAACCCACCTCTGTTTATTCTGGTTCTCTAACCCAAAATAAGTGTAAAATACCATCTCTGAAAAACACCCAAGGAGGGTTCTAATTAACTCCAGGGTGGTAGTGGCGGAGGAGGGGTGGGGATGGAAAGTGTTAGGTTAGGGAGCTCAGAGCGTTAATGCCAAGTGGTTGTCTGGGCCAGTTTGTCCCCATGAGGTGATGGGGAGCTCACTCCCTCTCGAAGCAGCTTTTTGCTTTCAGTTGAACTGAAACCCACCTCTGTTTATTCTGGTTCTCTAACCTAGAGCGTTAATGCCAAGTGATTGTCTGGGCCAGTTTGTCCCCATGAGGTGATGGGGAGCTCACTCCCTCTTGAAGCAGCTTTTTGCTTTCAGTTGAACTGAAACCCACCTCTGTTTATTCTGGTTCTCTAACCCAAAATAAGTGTAAAATACCATCTCTGAAAAACACCCAAGGAGGGTTCTAATTAACTCCAGGGTGGTAGTGGCGGAGGAGGGGTGGGGATGGAAAGTGTTAGGTTAGGGAGCTGTCAAAGACCTTTTCATTTGCTCTAACTTGCATTGGCATGCCAGCAAGTTCTTTAATAATAATAATAGCTACCATTTATTGAATGCTTCAGTAGGTGCCAAGTATGATCTCTAGGCATTTAAGGGAGTTATCATATAATCCTCACTAGGACCCTCTGCAGAAACGGAGGCTTTGAGAGGTTAAATGACTTGCCCAAGGTCATACAGTGACGAAGTAAGTGGCTGGGGGATTAGGATCTGACTCCAGATTGAGCAGCTCTTACTCCTTGGTCCATGTCCTGTAGAGATGTTTATATGTTGGAATCCCACGAGGCTGCACTCACACAGCTCCTTGAAATCAGGAGGTGGGTTTCCACACTTCCATCCAGATCTACTGCTTGAGCAAGGTCTCTGGAGTCAGAAACAGAAGCCATAGCCTCTGGAAGAAGGAGGCTGGAACTGGGGTATGGGGGTGTAGATTCTGGTGGGGGTCTGGCTCTCTGTGGGTGGGGAAAGAGGACTGCTTAGAAGTCTGGCATTTGCTGGTAGTGGACGCTTTTCCCTCCTTGCCAGGGAAGTCATAGCCCAGTCATCTCCTGAGCATCTTCCATGTGCTCAGAACTGTGCCGCGGGGGTTACAGAGGTAACTCAGACCCAGGCTGCATACTCACTTGAGCAAGTCACAACCTCTCTGCACCTTAATTTCTGAAACATAAAGTGGGCATTATACCTGCCTCATGGAGCCAAGAAGGGGGTTTAGTGAGTGCCCTCAAGGGATGCTGGAGGACAAGACACCCACGCTGAGATGGTCACCAACAGCACAAGCAGAGTGACCCAGGACGAGCTAGTCACAGGGCTAAAGGTGCTTGCAAAGGAGATGGGATTCCAGCACAGGTGGCATTTAGATTAGCGGAGGGGGAGGAGAAGGTGCCCCCTTGGAAGGAAGTTTTCTTGCCTCCTGGTTTTCCTTCTAATCTCTCAGTTCACCTCTTAAATTTTGGGGTGTCTTGGAGATACTACCTTGGACTCCTTTTGCAGGCTACACCCTCTCCCTGGGCAGCAACATCACCCCCTCACCTGTGGGTGCCTCCATTGCCCCAACCCGAAACCTGGAATCTCCCATCTCCCTTGCCTCTGTCCCCGATCATGGAATAAAACACCAAATTTTGTCCACCCTGACTCATTCAATCAGTAATTATAAAATGCAAATATCTCTCAAACATATTTCTTTTCTCTACCCCCATGGGTATGACTTAGTGCAGGGCCTTTGCTCTTCCTACCTCTAGTCCAAGTGGCCCTTCAGCACCAGCCTCTGTCAACCTCATCCTTTAGCCACCACCACCACGCACAGAGACTCTTTGTCCCAGGCACACAGGGCTCCGCTCAGTTCTGCAAACACGCCTTGCTTGCACGCTCCCGTTGCAAGTGCTTTTCAGCTGCTTCTTCAACTGGATGTCTCCTTATCCTTCAGGATGTAATGCAGGCCACGCCTCCTCCAGGAAGCCCCCCCCCACACACCTTTTCAAAAATTTCTGCCCTAGAGAGAGGTTGGTGGTGTAGGCTCTGTCTCCCCTGCAGAGCTCCAGGTGTTCTGGGGTCTCAGCTGGAGACTCAGTTAGGATCCACCGCTCTAACAGTTCCTGGCATGGTGCTGAGACAGGGATTGCCCAACGAATGAGGGAGAGAGAGGCAGAATTGAGGGCTTAGCTTGGGCTGGGAATAGTAATAATAATAATAATAATAACGAGCCAACTCTGATTGTGCTCTGACTGTTTGTGAGGCAGCATTCCAAGCGCTTTACATTGGGATTGTCCCAGAAAATCCTGACAACCACCCTACACGTATATACCAGTATCAGCACCCCCATTCTACAGAGGAAGAAACAAGTGCGAAGAACTGCCCAAGGTCCCCCAAATGGTAAGTGATAGTCGGATTTTTATCACCTCTGCGCTATCTAATCTCTCTGGACAGGGTTGGTCAAGGGGTGAGCGTGCTGGGTATATTTCTTCTTAAACAAGAAACCTGACTGCTGAGCCATAGAAAGAGTGCCCAACATTTGTATGTGTTTATAGACACTAAGGGCCTCCGTGTCATGCCACCCATGCTCCACACCTGCAGAGGATGTGGGCAGGTCTTACCTGACTCAGGAAAGCCTGACCCTCCAATAGGTGAGTGATTTGCCCAGTATCGTCCATGCCCAGCCTGGCGGAGGCTGGATTTGCACCCAAGCCCACAGCAAATGGCGACTTCTTGACAACACCTAGCCTGCAGAGGAGCTTTTTGTCAGCCTGCACGTCCTCAATGCAACAGGACTGCCGAGGCACAACTCTCGATTGTCCTTGCGGGTATGTTGGGGGCGGCGGGGGGGAGAGGGTCCTGATGTGAAATAGCATGTGGCTCACGGTCACGGGTTTTGTAATCAGACTTGAGTTTGAGTTCTCACTTGGGCAAGTCACAACCTCTTTGCACCTCAATTTCTGAAACCTAAAATGGGCATTATACCTGCCTCATGGGGCCAAGAAGGGGATTAGTGAGAAGACACATGTGGAGAGCTGGCCATATGATAATTAGGTTAGACCATGTGGGATTGCTAATATCTGATCATTTTGAGCCACAAAAATGGCAATTTCATATAGCTCAATCTATTAGAGTCTCAATGTAAGGCAGTTGTGATTAGAGTCACCAGTCTTCTTTTTTCCCTGGAGCTGCAGGCAGGGACTGTGTTGGGGGTTGGGGGGTGTTGTGCAGCAGGTAGGCTGAGAGAAGATCTCAAGTCAGCCAATTGACAATTGGGATAACCAATACTGGGGCGACCCCTTCTTACTCAGAACACCAGAAAACTGCTGAGCCCAGGCCAGGGCAGCAAGCACAAGCCAACAGCATTCAGGGCTGGAGGGCTGGGATGCCCCGGTCTCCGGAGTAGGGGAGTGTGAGCGCATGCCACCGCCTTCCCTGCTGAGCCGGGAGCAGCCTGCACAGTCCTGGTTTCCTGGCGGCTCGAGCAGCAGGCTCAAGCTGCCAGCTCAGCAGTTTTCCCTCAGCCAGAAGCACCCCCCTCTCTTTCTGAAAGTAATGATTTTCTAAAAATGGATTCTGTCCCCTCCCCCAGCTGCAATTAATCTACCAAACACAAAGTGGCCGCTGGAGAAGGCCTCTGGTGAGTTCGGACCAGTACAAGTGCTTTGATTAATTCAGGGACGATTTACTGGCTGGGGTTGGGGGTGAGGGGTGGGCTGGGGTGTGTTGCCTGGCGGGGGCCAGGCCAGGCCCATTGCA